GAAACCGGTGCCAACTCTGCCATTTGGGTTGTGTGCAGTGATGCCTCCCTACAAAAGCAAGCTTCGAGAATGTTGAAACGTGGCCGCAACATTCAAGCGCCCAAACAAGGGAACGAATGAACCCGAACCGAGTGGGAGGTACGTACGTCTGCGTGGCGATGCACAGGAACGCCCTACAAGTTGCATCTGGAAATGCGAATGCCAACGGCCACCTCCCCACCTTCAGAAGGCCTTTTAAATGCTTCAATGCATCCTGCTTAGGATGCTAATATTTGCGATGTCCATCCACCTTGCAGATGACACCCTGGTTGAAGACCCAATCCTTGATTTAAAAGAAAGTAGTATGGAGGCAAGCGAACTGGACTTTCTCCCAGCTCTGAAGCACAGGCCCGAACAATTCATATTTAGCAGGCGAATGCGAACCAAAGCTGGCTCTGAACCGAGTCACTGCTCACCGGCGTTTGCCACACAACACGTCCAGGCACCTGTCAAGGAGCGCAGATGGGCTGGCTGGAGAAGGAACAGCTCTCTCAAGCCAGGAGTCTGTTTCGTTGGCATCTCTCTGGCAGCAGCCCCGATGCGTCAGGGAAGCCCCTGACTGAGTGACGACAGCCACGGTGTCTGAGCAGCTGCTCTCAGAAAAACGGGACGTTGCCCACAGGCCCAAGACGTCAGGCAGTCAGGAGCAGCGCTGGACGGACTGCCGTGTGCGCCACGGAAGCAGGGTGCGGGGGAACCCCGTCGGGCAACGCGGCAGAGAGGAAAGGGGGTGGCAAAGGGGACTGGCACACTTCGATCCCCAACAAAGCAGCGATCCCCAACAAAGTGTCCATGGAGCCTCCAAGAAGTTGCAAACCGGTCCCCAACACAGTGTCTACGGACACCCAAACTTCCCCCTGCTTTTTAAATATATAAGCAAGGAATGGCATGCACGCAGATACTCCCTGGCAGTTAGAGACGGGCTTCCACAAATACCTGTGGGCAGCACAAGGCGGTCCCTCCCGTTCCTAGGCATTCCCTCGCTGGACTGGAGCAGTCTCGAAACGGGCCGAGGAGCCTGGAGTTGCCCCAGCAGCACCTCTCTCTGGGATCTGCCGTGGGCCGCTGGGAGCCCATCCTACTCCCAGGAAAACCGTCACGGCCAGAGGCAGGCACCGTGGCTCCATGCACGAGCCGAGGAGCAGCGGCTGCAAGGAGCTCCTTGCCCCCTCCCGGCCAGAAAGAACCTCTCTCAGACCTTGGTAAGGAAAAAGCTCGCCCAGGGGTCCTCAGACTTTTTCAACCGGGGGCCAGTTGAAAGGTGCCGGCAATGGGTGTGGGCCCCCAAGGCGGTGTGGGCGGGGGGCACGGGCCAGGGCAGGGCGGGGGGCACGCATGCATGTGCATGCGGCAAGGCCGGGGCACGCGTGCGCAGAGATCGTTTTCTCAGAGCGAGTCCAAAACGATCTCTGCACGAGCACGGTGCCGCCTTGCCTCGCGCGCGGTGAGTCTGAAACCATTATGGCGGGCTGGATAAATGGGCCTGGAGGGCCAAATCCAGCCCGCGGACCATAGTTTAGGACCCGTGAGCTAGCCCCATTCCTTTCCAGCCACTTCCCTTTTTGTCTCCTACCCAAGAATCTAATCCTGAGGGATTGACCATTTTAAGCTGCCTGGGTGAGCCTTTTTCGGCTAAGAAACAGGAAACTACTCCTACTGCCAATAAAATAATAATCAACCAGCTAGACATCCCTCCGCTAGGGGCAAAAATCATGCTAAAGGCATTTCTTCAAAGAATATCACATGGTGGGCTCAGCTTGTACCTAGAAAAAGCCCCTAAAGAGGAGCATCTCCTGCTAATTACTGTTCACCACATCCTCCCTGTTCCTTCATTAGTGACATCACTCCTTCCTCCTCCTGCCTGAGGGTGCCCGTCCCTCCCCATTCCAGGAGCACATGAATCACTCCAAAATACCTGTGTGTGGGGGGGGAGCGGAATCACAGGCCCCATAATGGGGCTTCTAATGAGCCATTTCCTGGAATATGGCTGGTGGCATCCACCCAAGTGAAATTAAGCACACCTGGCTCCTCAGCCCTATGGTGGCCTGGGAGACCCCTTCTGACTCGCTCTGTTTCTATGTTTCTATGTAACCAACATATCCATGCTTTGAACAACACTTGGGCCTCAAGCCCTCTTTTTATTATTTGACTATTTGATACATTTATATCCCACCTTTCTGCTCAGAAGTGCAGTAGAATGTACACAATGCTCCTCCTATCCCTTTTATCCTCACAACAACCCTGTGAGGTGGGTGAGGCTGAGAGTCAATGACTGGCCCAAATTCCCCCAGTGAGAGCCGTGAGTGAACGGAGACTAGAAGGTGGGTCCCCTGAGTCCCAGTCCAGTGGCTCCCTTGGCGAGGCAGTCATTGTGGGTCTTTCGGGTCAGCTGCAAGGGGTTGGGGCAGGCTCAGCTTTCAGACTTGCAACTCCAAAAGATCCTGTGCCCCCTACGCAACACTGGGAGGCCACAGGATTGTGTCCTGAGTTCATTTACCCCAAGTGCTGGAGTTCTTAAGGGGTGCCAAGGTCTCCTATGGCAAAGAAGCAATGGCAAATCTCCCTGCAAAATATAAAAAACGAGCACCTATTTGGCACAGCAGCTGGCCCCAAGTGGAACCAGCTGGCACCAGGGAAGAGAGTCAAAGCACAGCTGGCAGGCTGCGGTGAAGGCATCATGCGGCCGCTGCCCCTTTGCGGATGACGCCACGCAACTCTCCTCCTTTTTTCTGCATAAAAACCACCTGAACAGACCAATCTGAATATTATTCAGACACAGCCCTGCAAATCCAGGGGAGACACAATCAAGCTCTCCATTGTGGAAGTACCTACACAACACACGGATTAATGCTGCTCACCAGCATGTTTTGGTTCCAGGCATGCTCTCTGCTTTTGATATGCACTTCCTCTACCCTTCCAGGATATAATTTGTTCAAATATCTAAACAATTAGACACCTGCCTAGATGGGGGAAGCTTTTCATGCTTCCTGTCTGGTGCTGCAAACTGGAGCGCTGAACACCTTCAGCCATTCTCTCAGCCACAGGGGAACTGTTGGTCAAGAAACAAACCCTCCGTAGCTTCCAGGACTTTTAAATGACCCAACCAAGTGAGCAGAACCTGATCCTGTGAGCCTGCCCCATAGAATCAGCACCCTATCGAGGTGTTTGATCCGTGGAAAGACGTCTCCACACAACTGGGCCCCATCCATGAGTCAGCTCACTAAGATCTATAAGCAACTTCCATGTGAGTCAGAGCAGAGACTGCATGGAGGCCAAGCGAATGCTGAAAGGTTGTACTCCATGTGGGCCAGCATCGGGAGTTGGGGGGCTTGGGCCAGCAGAGGGGCCAAGGAAGGGATCCCCGGACCGGCTCTTCCTCTGCCCCACTCCAGCCTGTTTCTCCACCCTCCTCTGCCAGACCCAGACAACAGCGATGCTGTTAAAGAGGAGCAGCAGAGGGCCCAGCCAGGATTCGTGTTGGCCTTCCACCAGTGGATCGCAGTGATGGTGGTGAAGAGCAAACGCAGTGCTGTTGAAACATGGGCTATCCTGTTGGCTGAATCTGCTGTGCTAACAAACCATGGGTTGTTAATCAGCGTAATCCATGATTCACCACCCAGCATTATAGGATATTAGAGTGAAAAGGGGCCATGAAGGCCATCGGGTCCACCCCTGTTCTGTTCAGAGTTTAACCAATCATGGCGCGCTAGAATGGCTGGTTTCAGGGGACAAACAACCCATCCTCACACGACTTCCTGGAGGATCCTTCCCATTCATCCCCTTGCATGGCTACCGAGAAGCACGGAGAATACCCAACCCCGTCCTCCTTGAGGTTTAGGAGACCAGCATGAAGACAATCCGTGAGGTCAGGAGAGGTCTGGAGTGCAGCCGAGCTTTGATGGTTGTGCCCCAGCAACATCAGCAACCCGCTCCTTCCTACCCACAGCTTCCTGTCCACTCCCTGTGCCATCAGGAACTGAAGCCACTGTGCTCAAACAGGGCAGTTCTCATGAAACAAGCAGGCTTCCCCTAACCCAGGGCACCAGTTCACACATCAGTCACACGGTGGCAAACTCAGGCTGGGTACCGTGTGTTCGGAGTGTCACACACAAAGCCGTCAAAAAGTATCCCTGATGTTCCCCGAGTTTATCGCACTACAACTTAGCTGCTTCGGTGCAGACTTTAAAAAAATAACAATGCTCGATCGACTCCTAAACAAAGCCTTAGGTTAGACTCCTTCCAGCTGAGGCTCTCCAGATGTGCTGGGCTTTCAGAATTAACCCATGGCCATGTTGGTTGGGGATGATGGGAACTGTGGCCCAACACACCCGGAGGCACCAGACGGGGGAGGCTGCCCTACAGCAACAGCGGCACAATATCCCTGCGGGAAGTGACCCCCCAGCAATGGCACAGAGGGACGGGGGAATCTTCCTGCAGCAGGATCAGGCCCAGACCGACGGCTGAGGAGCCCGGCAAGTGAAGGCCAGCTCCTCCCAGCCCCCCTCTCACGGCACACAAGTTTTCCACAGCGCGCTTGCAGGATACAAATGGGGCCACCTGGAAGTCCATGGGGGGGGGGGGGG